TTTCATTCTTGCAGAAAAGGAACACAGCTCTGAGTTGTGAGTCTCACACTTAACACACACACACACACACACACACACACACACGACAGCTCGCAACCCAGGCTGCCTTATTTATTTTCCGCCCTGTTTCTAACTCCCTAAGTTATGGGTGCTCCCATCACTGGAGATTTTTTTAAGAAGAGACTGGACAGAAATTTGTCTGAATAGGTTCTCCTGCAGAATAGAATCGAATAGAATCGAATCGAATCGAATCGAATAGAATAGAATAAAGAATAGAATAGAATAGAATAGAATAGAATAGAATAGAGAAAGAATTGAATAGAGTAGAATTAGAATAAAATAAAGAATAGAATAGAATAGAATTAGAATAAAATAAAGAATAGAATAGAATAGAATAGAATAGAATAGAATAGAATAGAATAGAATAGAATAGAATAGAATAGAATAGAATAGAATAGAATAGAACAGAACAGAATTCTTTATTGGCCAAGTAAGGAATTTGTCTTTGGTGCAAATGCTCTCAGTATACATAAAAGAAAAGATACATTCGCCAAGAGTCAAGATAAGGTACAACACTTAATAATAGTCATAGGGTACAATGTCATAGGGTCTCCTGCTTGAGCAGGGGGGTTGGACTAGATGACCTCCAAGGTCCCCTCCAGCTCTATTCTGATTCCTCGGAGGCTTTGAAAGGCACTAAGGAATGGTGTGGCCAAGTGCAAAGTTGCAGAGCGAGGAGGCTGGGTTCTCACAATATATTGGACTCTTAACTTGCTCTTTCCCCGGATCCGGTTCACACAGTTTTGTTAACCCAACCAGCCTGATTTCCATTCCCTTTATAGCCACTTTGCACTCTTCCTCAAGGCAGTTGTGGAAAAGCACCGATGGGCAGAAGTATGTGGAAGGTGGGAAAGAAAGAAAGGGGGAGAGGGAGAAAAAGAGAAAAAAGAAACAGAAAGAAACAGAGAGAGAGAGAGAAAGAAAGAGAGAGAAAGGAAGATAGAGAGAGAGCGAAAAAGAAAGAGAGAGCTAAAGAAGGAGAATGAGAAAGACAAAGAGTCAGAAAGTGAGAGAAAAAAGAAAGAGACAGCAAAAGAGAGAATGAGAGAGGGAGAAAGAGAGAGATGGAGAAAGAAAG